GGGCGGGCGCGCCACGGCGGCGGCCCCATAGGATCGCGAGGCAGGGAGGGCCGCGGGGGGCGGCGCCCGCGGAGCGGCGGGGGGGGGGCGGCGCATGCGCGGGCGAGGCTGCCCGGGCGGCAGCAGCGGCCCCAGGGGAAGGCGCGCGGGCCCCGGGCCCGCCCGCCCGATGAGCAACCGCAGGAGCGGGGGCCGCGCGCCCCACCCCTCGCGGGGAACGGGAAGGAGCGGCCGACGCGCGGCTGGAACCGACTTGGACGGGCAGCCGCCCACGCGGTCCGCCAGGGTCAAGGGGCGAACCAGCCTGGGCGGCTCTGGGCTCGGCCGCGCCAGCCGCTGGTGCGGGGGAAGCAGCGCGACCTGGAGTCAATCCTCCTCCTCCTCCTCTTCCTCCTCCTCCTCCTCCCTCCTCCTCCTCCTCCTTCCCCCCCCCATCCTCGCCCCTCGTCTTTCCTTCTCCTCTCTGGCGCTCCCCCCCCCCCCCCCCCGCGTCCTTGATCGCGCTCCCTTATCCCCCCTCCGCTTTTCCCGTGAGCTCCTCGCTGGCCCCATCCCCCTCCGCCCTCCTTCGCCCCCTCCTTCCTCGCCCCCTCTACCCGACCGGGTTCAGGCTCGCGGGCCGCGCGGGCAAGTCGAGGAGCAAGGAGCTGACCTTCAAGAATTAGACGGGCGGCAACCAGGTCAAGATGCGAAAGGCCATGGCTTCGCATTGGGACAAGTGGCTGGCGCCCCACGCAGCGCGGCACTGTTCCCGGGAGGAGCTCGCCCAGCTCAAGCGCAAGCGGCCGCAGCTCAGGGCTGCCGGCGCCAGGTGGGTTTTGACCGGGAAGGGCGCGAATGCCTTCGAGGCGAGGCTGGCGGAGCAAGGGTGCCGGCAGAACGACGTGGGCATTCGCGCCGACGCTCCGACCGGGGGCCGAGACGCATTTTGGCTGACCTTTGGGTTTGCAGGCCAGCATGGCTGGGATGGCGCTTCCTTGGGTGCCGAGAGCGCCCACTTGCAAGCAGAGCGCGTCGACTGCGTTCAGGTGATCAAGACGCCGCTAGAGAACCCTCCACCAGGCACCGTTCCTGGGCGGATCTCCTTCGCGTCGGGCGGCATCTACGGCGCGAAGGATACTGGCAGAACCTGGCATTTGCATTTGGAGTCAGTCCTCAGTGAGCACCAGATCCATGAAAGCAAGCTGGGTCGATATTGGTATTACTTGGCTCACTAGGGTGAGATATTGCTGGCCATCCGTTCCCATGTGGACGACGTGCTTTTCGCATGGAAGCAGCCCAGCACCTACGTTCAAAAGATCATGCCGGAAATCGAGAAGCGCATGCGCCTTGCCGAGAAGGTCGGCGACGTCGACTACCTGGGCGCGAGGGCGCCGACGACGCCAGGGTTCATCGACGCGACCCAGGAAAAGGCGACCAAGGCGAACCGCATGAAGATTCCCGAGTCAGAAGCGACGCCTGGGAAGGTTAGCAGTTTCAGGACGACCAACGGTCAGGCGCAGCGGTTCGCTGCAAGGTCTCGCCCAGATGCGGCCCGCAAGCAGAACTTGGCGGCCCTGCGCGTCGGCGAGCTTGGCTTGAGGTCCAGGACCCAATCAACCTCGGCCAGTTAGTCGCCGAACTCCAGTAGAGTCTGACGCTGGGAGTCCGGCATGTTCGTGGTCGGGTTTGCGTTCCAGTGGCGCAGCCGGTGTTCCTCGGGGACTCCGCTTCGCCAATGCCGAGGGCGAGCGGTCGCAGCGCGGGTTCGTCGGGGGCTTGGCCCACGCGCCCGGGGAGGTCTCCCGGGGGAGGTTCGGCATGCTGATCCCGCTTATTTGGTGCCCAGGACGTGCCCAGAGGTCGGTGCGAAGCGCCTTCAGCGCATGGGCCTGGGCCACGAGCGAGGCCTTCGAGCATGCAGAGTGGCGTCGCGAGGTGCTGGCAGAGCTGAGGATGGCGGCGGAGCTCGGCGGTCCGCCGAAGCTGAAGGGCCTGGAGCGGCAGGCGGACAACATCGAGATGACTACTTTCACGGACAGCAAGAACCTGGAGGAGACGGCGGAGAAGGGCGCTGGAGTCGCCCAGGGCAAACGCCCGAGGATCGCGGTCAGCGTGCTCAGAGAGACCTTCGCCCCAGCAGCTCCGATCCTGCGGTGGGCCCCCGCTCGTGCGATGGTCGCGGGCGCTCTCGCCAAGGCGACGCGCGCGGGCACGCCGGCGGCGTTCATGCCCCGGCGCGGCGTGCAGTTCGCAGCCCTGGCCTCCAAGTCGAAGAAGCCCGTCCAGTTGCTGACGATGGCAGCGTCGGCCGCGCCAGGAGTCAGCTTCGCACTCTGGTCGGTCGAGAAGGCGAGCAGCAGCGAGGCCAGCCAGGGCTTGGCCATTGCGCAGCCATGCAGTCGTGAGAGCTACGCAGTGTGTTGGCTCAATGACTTGCGGGGTGTGGCTTTCGGAATCACGTTGAATCTCTTCCGTCTGCCGGTGCGCGCCGTGGTCCAGAAGTCCTCGCCCGCGCAGT